GCCTTATTGCGACATTCAACATGCTATCTCTCCCTGGGGCCTCGGGCCACGGGGGCCTGGCAATGTTTATCCAAGTCCCCAGATAAGCCTGAGACCCCTGAAGCTTAAAGTGTAGCCCTAACATTCCACTCTGTGTGGGCTGGTATGCACAGACTGAGGAGGAACAGGAAGAAGCTACTGGGTTCTTATCATTGGCTGGAATTTAAAAGTACAGTAGCTTCAGTGGCTTAAGGTGTGGGTGGCTATAACCAGGACACAAGGCTAAGGGCACTCTCATTAGCCACAGTAGCAACAATATGTGCAGACCCAGCCCCTTGGCCTCCTCCTCTCAGGCACTGGGTGGAGCTTGAATGAACAGTGCTCAGCTGGCCCCTGGGGTTGGGGGTTCAAGTCCACTTGGACAGCCTGACAATGTACTTCCTTCAAAACTCGTCATCAAAACCCTCTAGAGGCCAAGTCCACGCTGACACACCGGAAGGTCATCAGGAGCCCAAGCACTGAGTCACCGGTCCCAAGCTTCTCCCCAAATTTGGTCCTTTCTCAGGGATCCTTATCTGGGCAAGTGGCACCACCACCCACCGGTTATGCAAGCCAGAAACGGGAAGTCGGCTGGGCACCGCCCTCTCCACCAGGGCACACATCCAGCCCCATGTACGGCAAAACTTCACCTCTCTGCCCCTCTGCCCCCCAAGCCTCCGTCCAAGCTACCACACCACCACCTCTCACCTGGACTCCCAAACGGACCCCCATCCTCTACCCTTACCCCCCTCCACACACCAAAGATTCCCCCAGGACAGCTGCAGGCAACTTTCCAAAAAGGCAAATCTGACTGTCATTTCCTTCCTGTCAAAACCTTCACTTGTTTGTCGAGACGCTGAACTCAAAAATGTCTGCCGAGTGCCAGCCTGCGGGCCTGGCCCATTGGTCCAGCCTGACCTCCTTGCAACCGCCAGGGCCTTTGCACATGCTGTTCCTGCTGCCTGGCGGGTTCTTGGCTCCCTTCCCACCTGGCCCGGACTCCCCTTCATTCTCCACGTTTCTCAGCACAATCCTCACTTGCTCGGGATGCCTGTGGTGGCCTCTGTGACAAGGACCCTGCTGTCTCTTCTGTCAACCTCGTCCAGCTCCCTCCCGGGATGGACTCAAGTCAGGACGCAGGGCTGGCTTCTGTGTCTGTCCCTTCCAGCACAGTGGCCGGCACGTGGGCGAGCTGCATAAATGTCTGCTGAATGGACATTCTGGCTCACCCTGCCTTACAGAGTAGCGTGGCCAGGCCCTTGGTGCTCACAAAGCTGCCCCCCTCCACCAACCCCCAACTCACACCTCGCCCACAGGGAAGGAAGAGGGGTGTGCACCACAGACCCCCAGATACCTGCCCCCACTGGGAGGCTTGGAGTGGTGGGGAGAAACATCAGACTAACAAGGAAACTGTCCTGTTAAAATACTGGGTTGTCGTGGGTGACAGTTTCTCAACAGGGAAAAGGCTGTGTGTTTATTCCCAGTGAGGCCCAGAGATCTGAGGGGGTGGCCTTATCCCATCCACCCTGGGCACAGTTTGGGCTCATGTCCACAGCTGTCCAGATTCAGGGTGAAGCCACCCGCCTGAATGCTGCTCGACTCACTGAGCCAACAGCAGGCCTGCAAGGCTACGCCCTTCCCACAGCTAAGGGAGTGGCTTTCCTTTCAAATGCCCCATGGCTCTTTCTAGAACCATGAAGGGGGGGGGGGGGGCGGAGCTAGGAAGGAAGGAGATGGTGTGGGACCTAAAAAAATCTTGGGACAAGGACTGCTTCCTGCTCTACTCCCTGAGCAGGAGCCCCACCTATGGCCAGGTGGGAGAGGACCTCTAGCAATGCTGGCGACAAGTATGGGAGTGGTTGCTCGGTGTCCCCTGGGACCCCAAATCACTCCCTGGAGGTCTGCCAGGCACCTATGCATGAGCTCCCCACCCCCAGCAGCTGTGGGAGAAGCTGCTACCAGCACCCCTCTCCCAGAACTCTCACCATCCTGTGCCCTACAGCAGTATAGGCAGGTGTCACCCCCTGGAAGGTCGAGCTGGTCAGCCCTCCAGTGACATTCAGCTGGACTGCTTCTTCCCAGCAGGTTGCCCACCCTCAGGTGGTCCCCTGGCATTTCCCAGCTCTGATTTCAGTATTGGCACACCTCTGGAGTCGGGACCAGGCTGGGAAGCTCCCAAAGCCAAGAATTCGACTCATCCACCTGCAGGTGTTTGCCGAGTGGATGAACACTCGCTCTTTAAAAGACAAGTGCTGGCTTGAGCAGCAGTCGAAAGAGGAAGGGTGGGTGGCCAGCAAGCAGTGCCTCATGGACCCAGAAGTCTAGACTCCGTTTAGACAAACTGATTAAAAATGCTCAGCCTAATCAATCCAGAGGGTCTTGGCTCCTACCCCTCTGGCTGTTTTTACAGGCTCACTGCAGCTTTCAACTTCCGGACATTTTAAAGACAACTAACAAAATTCTCAGCTTGAGCTTGAAGAGCTAGAATCCTTTACTTAGGGACACACATGCCTGTAGAAGTTACCGAGGCAGAAAAACTAAGCAGCCACAAAACAGGTTCTCTAGAACATCCCCACATGTTGGAAAGCCCTCCTCTGAGGCCTGTGGGATGATCCTAATGTAAGGTGACCAGGGCAGTCCCGATTTTGGAAAGGACAGTCCCAATTTTTGGAAAGAATGCTCGACAAGCTAGGGTATACGGTTTTCGGCTGCCATGTGGCTATTTCGCCAGGATATGAGTTTTATCAATGGTCCCGCTTTACCAGTTAAAATCTGGTCACCTTATCCTAATGCAAGTCACACAATTAAAGACTTAACTATGTTATCTTAGCCTGCAATCCCTTCCTCTGCCAAAAGTGGGGACCGTGGGGGGGGGGGGCCGGGGCGGTAGGAATTTCCCACTAGCAAGCAGGTGGGGTAAGCTACCCCAGAAACCTCCAAAGTGCCCAACATGAGTTAGCTAATCTGCACAAAATAAACAGGATCTCAAAACGTTAGTCAGGCTATCCGACCTGTGAGAGGACAGGTGGTCAGGGATCCTGGCCGCCAGAGCACTCCCTTCAGAGAAAGTTTTGTCAGAACTTTGGACGCTCCCGTTTCATCTCAAAAAGTCTTTTAAAAACGAACGGACGGGAAAATGTGCCAGAACACCCCTCCCCCACCTCAAGGCCCAAACACTTCAACACAAAAGAAACGACTGGGGATTATAAGAAATGCGAAAGAAAACAGGAAAAGTGGGGAACCACAACTGCCCCTGGGCATCCCCCCCTTCCCCAGAGGAATGTTTTAAAGGGTGTCCTTTCTTTCATAGTCCAGCCCCCCCCACTGGCTGAGCTGCACCCCGGGAAGGGGGTTCTATTTGGGTTCGTTCTTTCTCATGGGCCCCCGCAAAGCCTAGTGCCATGTGCCGCCTGCCAGTTTGAAAGGCAACGAATTTTGTGTGTAGGAAAAAAAAAAATCCCCACCATGAATGAATCATCTTGAATGATGTAACCTAGCCGAAAACAATATTGCCTTCTGTTGTCCCTTAGCCTCACTAAAGTAATTTAATCTAGCAGTAAAAGACGACTTTTCATAGAGAACTCCTTTGGGGAGGAAGGTGGGGGGGGGGCGGAATCTAAAATTCAACAGCCACATACATGCATGCTGAGTCTAGAGCCAACTTTGAAAGGCGAAAGAGACAAACTCGACACGCCTGTCCCCAGGAAGCAGCGATTCCTCCGTGGGGATTCAAATCCAATTAAAACATGGTAAGCCCTCCCTCAAGGTCGCCAGCTCACCTGTGCTAACGCGGGAAGGGAACCGACAACTTTCCAAGACACGTCGGTCCCCGGGGGCCTGACTAGTTCCCACGACGGAACGCGCCGCGGACCCGGCGGGCGGACCCCCGCGCGCACACCGGACCCAGGGCGGGGCAGGGGCTATGGCGGGAC